AGCACCAAGACTAAGCAATTTTTAAATAGCACCAGACTATTCAGAACACAGCAGTACTTTACACAGTTTCGAAATCAATTTCACATGATTTACAGCATGCACTTATTTATTAACCAAAGTGACTGGTTAATATAATACAGACTTCTATCCTTCTGAATCCTGATAGAGGTTGAGAAGTTTCCACTTTAACTCATGGTGTGCACTCCCAACACCCTACCAATAGACTACTGTTTGGTTATCTTCAAGTCCACCTCTGGGTACCAGAGAAACCTTAAATCCTGTTTTTCTAGCATAGCAAAGTAATAATTAAGGATGAAGGAGCTGTTTCACTTGCCCTTTTTTAGTCAGCTGCTCAGCGCAGACTGATTCATTCCAAGAAATCTGGCTCTTCAGAAGTAGGCTTTGCAAGGTTTAGGGGTAGAGCAGTCCTCTCAGGACTGACATTGTTTATGAACATTTTACTCAATTACTAACAGCTGCTCATCCTGAGCACAGTGGTGCCTCGTTCCACACGCATTCAGGAAGGTTTGTACACGTCCTGCTCGCATTCAGTTTGCTGCTTGTCATTAGTTAATGTCCTGCTTAAGGATGTTTCGCATCACCCGTTTGTGGAGCAGAAAACCAGCACGCAAAGGGCAACACACTGCAAAGGGCATGAAGAGTTATAGGCAACCAGCTGGCACGTGTTACGAGGTTACTACCCAGACTCAGCAGAGATGTCTGACCACATTCAAGCTCCTGAACCAATGCAAATCCAAAGTACAAAATCACACTTAAGGAAGCCCATACAAGTAATTAACAATACAACAGACATGCTAAATAAACTAAAGAACTACTGGTATGACAAACTGATACTGAACAACCAGAATGAGTTTATGAAGTGTCAGACGAGTGAAACAAAGTCTGTGAGTCTGTCAAGCTGATCTGCTGAGACAACTAATAGGCAAGTTGCTCCCTTCAGCAGCATGTATTGCCTCCATGCAACTTAGTGGCAGACATTTGGAATTTTGAAAACAAGTTTTCCAAGCATGCTCAGTCTCCCTTCAGCAACTTAGTTGTAGAAGTAGCTATAGAAGTAATGTATATTATCTAAACATGAAAGAAAGACTTTCTCTGGCTTTGCAGCCACTGATGTACTTAAGCACTTCAAAACTCTGACGCCATTCTGTACTTTCAGCATTTCTCCGATGGAAGTGTGTGAATTACATGTCCCCAAAATAAACTCTGAACTACATAAATAAATACAACACTGTCACAAGCTCGCCCTCCTGTAGTCTCTCTTTTATAATACTTATCCCTTGTCCGTAAACATGATTGTTAGGACAAAAACATGTGAGGTCAGCAGCACCAAACAACTCTGAAATGCTATCAATTCTATGAAACATAACACAAGGAGTGCATCAGCTCCAATAATTTTCTTGGCATTTTCCTTTTAGTAACCACATTCAAGCTGAGGCTTTTTTTACTTATTAGAAAGGGGGCACTGCATTATAATGCAGAGAAAAGAAAGAAAAATAGGCAAACACAAAAAAACTGTCTTCTAAAAACAGTCTACACTTTAAAACCAATCTGTGACTTAAGCTGTTTAATTTGAAAGCACAGTTTAATAACATGGTGGGAAAGAACTGGTAACATTAGATGCACAGCTATATAATTTTAATTATATTTAAAAATCTAATGAAGTTACAGTAACTACCTCATATTAGAAATATTTTTTTTTTTAATTACTTGAGAAGGATACAAGCATCACAGCCAAAATACAAGAGCACAAATGTTGACACAAAGCTGCAGTCCTGAAACTCACCCAACAAGAATCGTGAGTTATTGCTCAGCACCTGTGGAGCAAAGCACCACTTCTGGGAATAACTGCATGTTCCCAGTTTTGCAATGAAGAGTTATTTCTTACTGTTTCTGGTATTAAAGCTAAGCATGCTCATATTTGCTGCACTGGGGTTTGCAAAAGTCCAGCTGTGGGAGTAAGCATGTATTAGTTGTTGCAGGTCTTTTTAAGAACAAGGTTGAGCTTAACATTGAAGTGTTCAGGAATTCCTGAGCTTCTTTTTATATTCAGACCTGTCTTTCCAGGTCACCCCCCCCACATTCAGCAAAATGAAAAGGTTAATACAATCACAGTAAATGTAATTTCCATCCTAACATCCTCATGTTACCCATTCTTTATGAACAGATTTAAATATCAGTGTTTCCCAAAGTTGTGGCATGGGGCTTATTCCGTAACTTTTGATAAAGAAGTCTACTTAAAATATAAAATTCTGACAAGAAAAAGAAAGGCTGCAATCCCTACCCCCAAAACAATACCACTATAGCTGCGCACACTGAAACAGCAAGACCTGTCTTTACCTGCAAAAATAAAGGTCCCCAATACAAAAGTTAAGCAAAAATAGAAGAAGACCTAATACAAAGGGCATTGAAATATTACAAATAACAACTCTCAGTGAAGTGGCAGCCAACTGAAATCAAAGCTTGTAAGAAAATCTTTCTTGTTAATCAGAAGCAACACGGAATCTCTGACCAGAAATGCAGAGAATAATCTAAACCAGCTCCAGCATACAGACAACTGCATCCTTTGACAAAACTTCAGCCTTTCAGATAACTGCTTACAAACTCAACATGCTACAAAGATGGTTTTTACTATGGAACAAATGAAGAATCTCTTAATTTTTTAAAATGAAAATACAAATAAAAATACTCCTCGCAGCCTATAAATTTAGCCAAGACTGGAACACTGCAACAAGATCCTCTTCTTTAAGTGTCTTTTTAAAGCATGCCAAAGCCATTAGTTAGAAGGATAATCTAAATAAAGTCATTGTTAAAAAAATAAAACTACATCATACCATGCCTGAACAGCCAAAGAACTGGTCAGGGAGGAAGGATTATTTCCTGGCACAGTAATGTAGCAACAGACCAAGTTCTCCCTCTCTTTTTATTATTGTATTAAGCCTTCACAATGTTTCACAAAAATAAAACTGAGGTTCGTAGCTCATCTGTTGAACAGATGATCATTTCTATAGAGCAGCAGGACTTTGTTTCTAGGCGTACAGTGCAAATATCAAAGTAAAAACTTACTTAGCAAGAAAAAGAAACTAAAGTCCAGCTTCTGGGTTTTGTTCATCTACCAGGTCACCTCACCAAACCTGATACCTGAGCCTAATTATGCAGGTGCAATTAAGGATTCAGCTGCTTTGAAGGCAACTGAATTAACCAGCGTAAGCGAGATTGCTATCAGCCTACCTAAGCAAGACTGTACTAGAGCAGATCTGGGCTGGACATGTAATTTAATTCACACTCTGATTTCTGGAGAAGCCTCAGACCTTCAGGATAATTACAGTGCATCAGAGACAATGCTCAGTGTCAGTTATAGCATTTAAGTTGTGTACTGTTTGTCTGACAGAGATGAAGCACTCAAATGTGAAGTTACCTTCCAGCTTCTCAAACCATCAGCTTCAACTTCAACTGTGTTCCACAACTCTTAAGGAATGACACTCTTAGTGAGAGGTTTTTTGCTTATACACAAGTATTTGAGCACTCAAGTTCTCTCTGACCCACCATTTTTCATTAGATAGAAACTTCTTCCTAACAGATGAGACTCTTGAGTTGGTAAAACAAACCCCTAACAGCTACACTATTATTAAACCTCTAGACCACACTGTACTATCTGTTGAGCTTCACCTTGAAATGCACTGGCAGAGTTAACGAGTTCTGAAATAAGAATTCACTGATGATAGAAACTTGACAGAAAATTGAGAGGCACAGTGGAATACATAGCTGATCAGAAGCTGAAGTAAATATGCAGCACGAATTCAAGTCAGCAAACTCACATGAAATAAATAATGAAGTGTCTTCTACATTTATAATGTTTTGGGCTGTTAACCACCAATACTGACTGCTCATAGCCAATTTTAGGACGTCGGCAATTGAAACAAAAATAGCAGCCATTGAAGTACTGATACCTTTGATCATGAAAAACATTATTACGATTAGCATCTTACGCCTATTTGCTCCAATCCCCTGAGATGTAAAATAAAACTGTAAACATTTTCAAAGTTATATGCCAAAAGACTTCTCACTATTAATCACACGCATTATACTTGAGGTTGTATTCTCAATTTCACTCTCATTAACTTGGTATGAAAACCGGCCCAAGCAAGGAAAAGTTGATGCTCTCGCACCACCACATTACTACCTTGGTACAAGCAATAGCAAGGAGAAAGCAGCTGTTGTCCTCAAACCAGAGGGCTAAGGAAAAAGAACAAGTCACAGATACGTTCACAGACAAAGTTATGGAAAGCAATGCAAGAATTTTAAGCCTACCACATGAGAAAGGTATATAGTCAGTCTAATGACAAACTTAAGACACAGCTCCCTGTTGGAAAACTCCTTGTTTCTCTAAAGTTCGGGAGAAAAGTCAGCTTATGGAAAAACTCTGGCAGGTCTGGAGAAAAGAAGGGTACGGTGCTGCACAACTCAGATCTGGGGTGGGAGTTATATGTATTCACAGCCCAGGGAGATGGGAGAGAGAAGGCATCGCTCTCAGCAGGCAGTAATAACTGGGAAACAACCTTCAGCAGAAATCCAACATTAGGGCATGAGAAAGTACAATTTGGTACAGCTTAGGAGGCCTCTCTCTAATATAATCATCTGTAGTTTTGTAACAGCTGGGAGTGGTTGCTGTATAGAGATGCTGTCCAATAATCAACTTAAAGCATTCTCTTTCCACTTTACAAAGGACATTGTTTAGAGAACAAATACTGTTACAGACAGTAACAGCAAGACAATACCAACAGCTTGTATTGTTCTACACTTGTACTTCTAGCAACTAAACTCAATCAAAATCTTGAAGAGGTAAATAAAAGGTCTATTTTAAGGGAATTCTAGAATGAGTCATTGAATTTTCTCCACAAATTTTTCATCCAGAGAAGGAAGTTCATGTGCAAGTAGAAAAATGTGTTCTTTTAGAGCAACTGTGTAGTGGGGAAACTCACCGTGTCCAAGAACCGCGAGATTGTAACCGCACTTCCACTTGGATTTACGATACATAATCAAAAGCCACACTTGCAGAGGGAAAATGACCTGTTGATGATGGTGGCTGTCAACAATGGGTTCAGATCAGTTAGCTGCTAGTGCAGACAGGACAACATTTTTCAACACTGCGAGAGAAAGTCAGAGTGAGACCATATGGTTAAGCCCCATCCACATTAGCACCAAGCAGCTAGCATCAGCAATTGAGAACTGTCAGCTGGGAGAGGAGTGGTGAGAAGTATACCTGTTGCTCACAGCCACTGTAAAGAATGGTTTTGTAGAGATTTATCAATGTTAGTTCTGCATCTACTGGAATAAATGCACTTTGAGAAAATACAAACAGGTAATTGCACACAGCATGTCCTTGTGTCCAATCAGTAATCCTAGTGCAGAGCAACTCAAGTACTTGGCTGTTTAAAGTATTCAAGGAATTCAGATACCAGTTGGTTTCAGCATGCTCAAGAACATATTCTGGAATTATACTGGGTAAGTTTTACATTTGCAGAAGATTGACAGTTACAGGTAAGCACCAGACAAGTACTGTCAGCAGATACCCCAGCTGTATGCTACACAAGACCATGCAAAATAAATGGATGAGATAACTGGCTTTAACTTCAAACTACTTTGAGTAGGGGGAGCAAGACTAGATGATCCCCAGAGTTCCCTTCCAAAACAAATTCTTATGATCATTGACAAACCTGGCCACTAATGCAGAGGCACGAGCTTTCATGCAGAGACTGAAGCACTGAATCACACTACTATTATCACCTACTCTCACAACCTGCAGGAATGCCTGCACTTAGTTGTTACGACTAACACAGAGCAGGAGCACATCCTGTAGTTAAACAATTTTAAGACAGCATAAAATACCACTGCAAAAGCAGCAGTCCTGCCTGTCACCCTGCATTTAGATGTAAGGTTTCTGCACAACCACAGTATCAACAGATTCACGCCCCAGTCTGTTCCTCAGTTGGATTTACCTGGTTCCACACATGCATCTGATCATAGACCAGGAACAGAGAGCTGGAACCACCTTTCCCATAGTAGACTTTGTGTTCATTTCCAGGAAAAAAGCAAAATTATGTATTTTTAAATGCATGGACTAATTAATAGTGAGATGTTAGAATCTGTTCCTGAGCAGTACTTAAAAGCTGTGTTTAATCTTGAAGAACAAGGGAACATAGCTACTCCTATTCTTAACTTTGGAGCTAATTCTCTTTTCTTTATAGTCACTCTTCTATTCAACTTACTTTGTCCCTATAAGTAACAAAAGCTACATTCATCAGCAAAACACAGCTTAGTACAACAATAATCTTATTAGCATGCATACTGAGTTAATACCAAGCTTATATGAGGATATTTGAAAATTAAGCTTGAAAACAAGCACAGTAACAGCAATAAACTAAAAATTTCAAATTCTGACTCAATTACACGCAACATTATTCTGCCTTCATCAAGTTTCGTAATTTCCTGTACATTTCTCCATAGGACTATTTTCTATTACTTTTTGCTATGCTTAGGGGTCTAAGACTTGGGACAAATTGAGACAAGAAGAAGGCAAGCACCATTAGTCTACTCGCTTTTGCAGCATAACGTTTCTCATAAGAACTGGTGCTACATCACCAAGATAAAAATGACCAAAGCACTTTTGGGAGGCAAAAATGAGGCGCGGTTTGTCTGCTAACATTAATGCAAGTTACTTCCATAACCAGTTGCTACAATAAAATGTGAGGTATACATTAACACATCTTAGGGTACATTTGCAAAAACTCTTCTACCAATAATTGTTTCAAATCAATCATCTGGTTACACACTGGGAAAGCATCTTCTAGCACTGTAGAAACTGAATAAGGCCTCAGCAGAGGTTCCAGAACATGTGTGCCAAGTTGGAAGGGAGACAGGTGGAGGACAGAAAATGGGGTCTCTGAAGACTGTGGGATGGTACCTGAAGATTGTCAAAGCTGAATTGATGCTTCTGAAGACTGATCACCACCCTTACGGAGTAAAGTCTGAACTATAAATTATGGCTGAGGACTAGACAACTAAAGATAAACTTAAAACCCCACTCAATCCTTTGGCATAAGAGCTAGGCCGAAGAAAAACTGCTGAGTGCCATGGTTAAGCCTACAGTGAAGAATTCCCACTTACTTCAATTACAGTAGTGACTATTAATATGGAGTGTAGAACTGCTTGTGATTTTAAGCGTCTGTATCAAGAGACACCTCTCTTCCCCACTTACATACATGTCTTTGAAGAGCTGAGCAACTTTAGTGACACTAGCAGAAGGTAAAGTTGCAAAGCAGAAACCACAACAGGCTATACCTTGATAGAAGGAAGCTCAGCAGGAGTAAAAGAGTCAAAGGGGGAAAACCCAGGCTTCACTGAGTGCCATGCTGTCCCACACCAGCACAATGGAGGGGAATCCTGCTCTACTCTGAGGGCTGTGAGCCACCTGGGCAGAAGCCATACTTTTGCACAGCTACTTGGCCCTGAGGGTTGAAAATAAAAGATGAACAGCCAAAATACAAGGCCAACAGACACAGCTCTCAGGCAGGGATCAGCAGACCTGCAGTATTATGAACACTGCAGCCCATGCTGGCTGGCTGTTTTGCACTATACCCTATCCTTTCCCTCAGCTATTTCCTTCCTTTCTTTGTCCACCTACCATAGCTCCTATTTGTGCTGTTTCTCACCCCTATCTCTTCCTTTTTTTGTCTCTACAGAGTCCAAGGTCTTAAAAGCAGGCTTTAATTCATACAGCCTACAAGCACTGCAAAATTAAAGTTTGCAATTTTTTGTATGTTTAGTTGATTGTAACATTAATTTCCCATCTCAGCTTTTTATTAAATTGCAGTTTCTTGAAAGACACTCAATGGACTGTGTTTATACTACTACCCATAGTCACAGTAGACCAGTCAGTATTAAAGACAAGAGTTCACAAATAATGTAGTGTGCTGATGTAGCTTCTATAAATGGAGAGTTTGGCCACTGCAGAGACGTCTAATCTACGGCTCTCACTCACATAAACAGTCTGCAGCCACACAAATAAAGACTGTCAAGATCCTTCCCCAAATTCCTGCAGGGAAAAGAAATTAAAATGATAGCAGATTGGATGGAACAGTTCTAAGAAAAATCAATAATGGTAGCTGTAAAATCTAAAATTAACGTAAGTCTGGTTTTGATGCTTTCAGTACAAACAGTACATTAAATTTGGCATAAGCCCAATGGAACATGAAGTTCTTGTGGACAATGTCTGCCAAGAGCTAGAAATATAGCACTTAAGTCTTTAAAGAACAATCAGAGAGGCACAGACCATTTCTACTTTATGCATCTGAAAAAAAATTAAATCAAGGTGATCTTTCTGAGGGAACATTTGTATTAAATCTAATTGGTGTGCTTTGTGCAATACTGAATTGAGTGAATGCCAACCGGCAGAGAATCAGTATTTGTCATTTTATAATGACTTGTGACAAAGGTTACAAATAACCTCCCCATATCCCAAATCACTGTGCTTTCCTCCTCAACATCAGGCTTGAGTCTCAAGGTAAATTCTGTACCTGGTCCGTGGTCATGCTGACACATCTAAACATCTGACACAGTGGAAGCAGAAGAAAGAATGTGAAGAATGAACTCGGGGAACTCACACTGCACTATCATTTTTTTTCACCCACCTTCACATTTTCTGGTACTTCATTAGTTTACATGCCTCAGAGCAGAGCAAGATTTGATTAGTAACTGAATATTAATTCTCATTTCTGTGGCAACCTCCAAACATTAGCAAATTACACATCAACACACCTGTGAGTTTCTAACCTTTATTAAAAATAAGGACAAAAATAAAGCAGAGGAGAGGGGGGCAGACAAGCCTAACATCCATCTGGGGCTTTGGAGACATCATCCATCATCCCAACACACAAGTTCCTCTCCCCACCACCTCCCACACACTGAGCTCTTAATTGGACAGGAGGGTGTAGTGCACTTCTAGCTTTGCTAGGTTTTCTGCTATTACACATGGGAAAGCTTACACATCCTTTCCCCACATCTCCCAGGGATTCAGAAGGGAACACACCCCTCCTGTCTTTAAGGCAAATACAAGCTGCTTGCATAGAAGGATCGCAGCACCAGCTCTGCCTTGGGAAACTGGCGAGCAAGAGAAGGGAAAACAGGCAATGTTACACTTAACATCTGCCCAGAGTGAGGCAAGAGTGAGTGCCCTCTCACTCTATACGTAAGCCAAGCACTATCTAGATCTCTAAAACTGCTATTTCTTGATGACTGAGGTTTTGAAACATGTAACAAAACAGCCAGATAAATCTGACTGCTAATCCTCTTCATTAATAGCTATAAAGTAGCAGCAGCATGCCTGCAATACTTGCTGTTGTGGACGCTAAGAGACTGAAAGACACCAGACACTTGCTACCCTTGCTTACTGACAGGATTAATAAGCTCTTCTCCCTACAACCAGTCCCTCTTGGCTTTAAGGTAAAGGTTAATTCTTCCCTCATCTTTTGGATCAGGCTCCTATCTCTGCTGCTGTTTAGACACTGCCAACTTGAACTCGCGCCTCCCCAAAGTTACAGTAAATGAAAGACACCAAGAAATAAGCTTGTAACACTTTCCCTCTAGAGGTAGGAGTTTCTCTTGCTAACTACGCGTATCTCAAAACAGTGAAATATGCATAGTTATTTCAATGAGAAAAAAATAAATAGTGTATAAATAGGCATAGAAATTCAAAAGCAGTTGCTACATCCAAGTCACAAGTGGCTTATAAGCCCCCACATTTTACTACAGCATCCTGGCCTTTCTTAGTCAGTAGTGAGGTACAAGGCCCTACTTTGTTTTCACATCTGCTGCTCAGAAAGCCCCAGACAAAGCTAATACACTGGCCACAACACTGATGAAGTTGTGTTACATCTATATAAGTGTGTTTATATAAAATATATATATAATGGTTTAACTCTTTAATAGGTGCAGAGACAGGAGATTGGAGCAGGAAGCAGTCCTTATCTGAAGTGTCAGCGCTACCATCACTCTGTTTTCCCATACATGAATAGCCACAAATTTCCTACACATGAGGAACTCTATGTAGTTTGTCAGAAGATTTTGACATCCTTGGTAGCCTGTTACG